GTATTTGTGATTTGGGGCCTTTTTACCATTTCAATAGGTATGTGGGGTTGAGGGCAACATTATAAAGCACAATCCGGGTTCAATTGTTTTTTCAGCTGGGAAACATATGGTGAAAATACCAGTGGTTGGGGAGTCAGTGTGGATCCTAAGGATCCAGCTAAAAACCTAATGACTTAAGGATGGCACCAACTATTTAATATAGAAACAAGAGAGAAGGCAGTAGATCAATGGTCTTCCTCCCTTTTATTTCAAATCCTGGCAAACAGATGGAAGGTGGGCGAGTAGAGCTTTTCTAAGCCATACAGTGTTTCCCAAAGTAGACAGGTAGCCTTGATCTATACTGAGAGCTGGCTGTGCAATCTTACACCTGTTTTCAGTGGGGTTTACCTTCAGGAAAATATGTACCTGATAGGGTACCCTTATAGAATCAGCCTTCTCCATTCAATAGAGTTAATGGCTCATGGCGCCTATGAAAGTGGAAAAAAGTGAATGAAAAAACCCCTTTTTACAGCTAAGAGAATATCTTCCTAGGTATCTCTAGGTCCTCCAGTGCAAATCTATGATCGACTTTCATCAGATGTTGCCCACAGAATCACATCACGGGGCATTGAGATTCCTAGAGAGACCATATTAATTAAATCCAAAAACATGCAAATCTGTAAAAGTTAAGCTCACTAATGTGGAGGACCAATAGAACTCCCAAGCAAATGGATACAGAATTGTGTCCTCGCTCTTTATTTCTCTCAGCTAGGTGGTGTTGGAGGAAAGTTCTGAGAGTGCCTTGGACTGCGAGAAGATCCAACCAGTCCATCCTCCAGGAAATAAAGCCCTACTGCTCACTGGAGGGAAAGATACTAGAGACAAAGTTGAAGTCCTTTGGCCACATCATGAGGAGACAGGAAAGCCTAGAGAAGACAATGATGCTGGGGAAAGTGGAAGGCAAAAGGAAGAGGGGCCGACCAAGGGCAAGATGGATGGATGGCATCCTTGAAGTGACTGGACTGACCTTGAGGGAGCTGGGGGTGGTAACGGCTGACAGGGAGCTCTGGCGTGGGCTGGTCCATGAGGTCACGAAGAGTCGGAGACGACTGAACGAATGAACAACAACAACAACAGGGATACTACCATGTGGTCCTTCAGCTGAAGAACTGCAATACCCATAACCATGCCACGTAGGGAAGATATCCAACATCTCCAAAGCCATGTATTCTCTGCTCCTGCTGTACTTTTATATAGTTGATCTGTGTTCTTTGTTTTTGCTTTTTTTAGGCACCTAAATATGCACTGGGATGTGACATCAGGAAGTCCAATGGTTAAAGTCAAAAGCTAGATGTGGAAATCTTTTCAAAAATTATACAGATAATATCTATCTGAGTATCCCTCTAGCCAACACAACCAATGCCAATGGATAATCCAAACTCTTCAGCAACATCTGGATGACAGTTGCCCATTCCTAGAATAAGTAATGGAACAAACCATTGATGAATCCAAGGCCCCATCTACACTGCCATGTAATGCTGTGTATTATATGGAACTGTATTACATGGTCAGTATAGATTCATATAATGCAGTTCTTTTATTGCAGACAAGGAAAGGCATCTGCAGGGTTTTCTGATTTCTATTTCAAACTAAAGGCTAACTTGGGTACAATGAATATTGACTTAGGACTGATCTACACTGCCATACAAAATCCATATTATCTGCTTTGAACAGGATTATATGAGTCTACGTAGCCTCCGGTGGCACAGTGGGTTAAACCGCTGAGCTGCTGAACTTACTGACCGAAAGGTCACCGGTTCGAATCTGGGAGTGGCATAAGCTCCTGCTGTTAGGCCCAGCTTCTGCCAACCTATCAATTCAAAAACATGCAAATGTGAGTAGGTCAATAGGTATCTCCCCGGTGGGAAGGTAATGGCACTCCATGCAGTCATGCCAGTCACATGACCTTGGAGATGTCTATGGCAGCTCTTTGGCTTAGAAATGGAGATGAGCACCAACTCCCAGAGTTGGACACAACTGGACTTAATGTCAGGGGGAAACCTTTACCTATATGAGTCCGCACTGGCATATAATCCAGTTCAAAGCAGGTAATCTGGATTTTACATGGCTGTGTAGATACGGTCTTAGGGGACAGCATCACTTGTAATGCTGTCTTAGATAGCAAACAAAAAAATGCTTTAAATTCAGCGCAGCTTCTATATTTCATGATTTTTATAACTCATGGCTTTGCCCTGATTTTTTTTCAGAAAAAAACTTCTATTTATGCATTGCTCAGAAAATCTGGATTTTTCTTCCTGAAATCTGTCCTGTCTTCTGTTTGGATGTAAAGATTTCCACAGAAACCTTATCACTGGCTCTTCTGCTTGGATTACTAGTACTGCCCCCAGTTCCCTTGGCATGGAACTTTTTTGAAGTGGAAATACAAGGCTGGACTGTGATTTCTCTACCCTCTTATTATTTTTTTCTTTTAAAAGTCAAGCTTAGAGATCTATAAAGTGCCAGTTACACAACCATAGTTACAAAAACAATCTACTGAGCTCTTCCTGCTGTGTACCACCCCCTTCTGTTTGTAGAAAGCAGGAATAATTTAGAATTGATTTTTGTTTCTTTTTGAAAAACATGGTTAATGTTAGTAACAGTGCAAAGGTTCACAGAACTGGGCCATGGGGCCTCTTTATGACATTGCCCAAGCCTTATGAAATACGACTTTTTAAATGTTATCTGTATGGCATGGTTCTCCTCCATGATCTTCTGGACTGCAAATCCTGTAGCCCATCATCACTGAACATAGAATCATATAATTGGAAGAAACCACAAGATCCATCTAGTCCAGTGGTTCTCAACCTGTGGGTCCCCAGATGTTTTGGCCTACAACTCTCAGAAATCCCAGCCAGTTACCAGCTGTTAAGGATTTCTGGGAGTTGAAGGCCAAAACATCTGGGGACCCAAAGGTTGAGAACCACTGGCCTAATCTAATGCCCTGCCATGAAGCACACACTGAAAGCACTCCCAACAGATGTTCGTTCAGCCTGTTTAAAAACTTCTAAAGAAGGTTACATGTTCGCAGGGGCTGATAGAAACTATAGTCCAACATTTGAAGGGCACAAAACTATCTTTACTCTAAGATGCATTCTTTCCTTGATCACACATGAGGAACTGGCAAGCATCTCTGCCTGAAACAAGGGCAACCCTAGTGTGGGTAGCTACCATATCGTGGTCTCTCTTAACCTGCTCTGGAATGTCCAATGTTAATGGGGTGATACAGGAAGGACACAGTCATAGACTCCGTGCCTGTAAGGCAGAAGTAGGCCTAGTTTCAGCTGGCTAACTTTGGCCACATATAGCCAAAAGTGCTACCATTTTTACTAATTTGGAAGTCAGGGTAGGATCTGGAAGTAACTTGCAGGAAGTTTGGGATCTGTTTTGAGGTGGGGTCACAAAATGCAGCATTTTAAAGGAAAGTTGTGTACTTTAAATTAACTTTTCTAGACAAAAATGGGAGGGGTGGAATTAAATTTGGAGAGATAAGCAAGGATTGGCAGGGGCAAGAATGCAAGCAATCCAACCTCCCTCCATTAAGATATTGTGGATGACAACTCTAAGATTCTCCCAGGCTTTGGGATAATCCTAGTTTTCTTTCTTTTCTTTTTTTAAAGTATACTCTTCCACCTCGTTGGAGGATTCAAGGGAGGTAAAAAAGAGGGGTTGCATGGCTTGATTCTAGGCAGAGTCAGGGCTGTTTAGTCCTTGGATGGAGCACCACCAAGGAATATTATATACTGTAGGAGGTTATATTTCAAAGGAAGGCAGTGACAAATGACTTCTGAGTACTCCTCGTCTAATAAAATCCTGTGAAATTGATGGGGAGGCTGCAGGTTAACAGGTAATTTGAAGTCATATACAATACATACACAGAAAAGCTGGCTATGTGACTCGCTACACAAGAGGCTGTGTGAGTGTTTCAAATTTGCCTATTGATTTATGGTAACCCCATGAATTTCATGGGGTTTTTAAAGGCAAGGAATCCTCATAAATGGTCTTAGTCACTTCCTTCCTCTGAAATATAGCCACAGCACTCACTATTCTTTGGTGGTCCCCTAACCAACTATTAACCAATGCTGACACTGCTTAACTTCTAAGATCAGATGGGATCTGGCACTTTAGGTTATTTAGGCTAGGCCTATCTTAAAGGTTGTCCAATTAAAGCCCAGTATAAAGATAAATAACTGCAAGAAATGAAAGCAAGAAGGCAACATATGGCTTGATGGATTGTAGCTTTCCATTACCCTTTACGCACTAGCTATGCCAATGGGAACTGCCGTCCAACAACATAGAGAGAAAATGATGTTCCCCAAGCCTGAACTGAAGCACAATGTGTGAGAGAAGTACAACATCCAATTATTCTCTAACACTGACAATCTTCACAAAGGGCAAGGCATAGCTTCTAGCGTGACAGTCATGGGTTGGCACTTTTGAGTAAAAAACACATCAAAGAGAAACAGCAGCACACACCTACTTGGTGAACGCATCTTAGCTTCTGTGCAGCAGCTCTGTTTGGATACAACTAAATAAGACCACTTTTTTTTCATTGAGAAACTGCAAGTCGCTTCTGGTGTGAGAGAATTGGCTGTCTGCAAGGACATTGCTAAGGGAATGCCCGGACGTTTTGATGTTTTACCATCCTTGTGGGAGGCTTCTCTCATGTACCTGCATGGGGAGCTGGAGTTAATAGAGAGAGCTCATCCACGCTCTGCCTGGATTTGAACCTGGGACCTGTCGGTCTTCAGTCCTGCCAGCACAAAGATTTAACCCATTGCACCACCAGGAGCTCCAATAAGACCACATTAGGGCCAGTGACCCCCTAAGAGTAGCTGATCTCCAATTTCTACCAACTTGACATAAATAATGAGGGGAGTTGTGGTCCACAGGTTCTCCACACCTGTTCTGGGATGTGCTGTTAACTTCTATCTCCACAAAATGCATAAAATAAATGATGTGGATGGCAATCAATCAATGGCTTTATGAAACACAATACAGCGATTTTAACACATTTCTGTCAATGCAATTTCCTCTCTTTGCCAAGACAGGCATCCCACAGAAAAATAACACATAGAGCTTTTGCTTCAGGCAAGGTTCTGTTGCTTCCCACGATACCATGTTAATATGTCTCTGTGCAGCATGAACAGATTTTCTAAAAGGGGTACACAGTACACTGAACCCCCTCCCCTACATTTCCATGTGTCATGGAAAATCCTTACTTCCCAATGATAAAATGGCATGGAAGTAAAACCTCAGAAAGAATTACAAAACACCAGCCACAGAAAAACAAATCACATTGATAAATAACAGTCGAATCTCACACAGGAGTCCCATAAATGTTGGAAAAAAAAATTGGGCACCTGTTGAAATTTGTTGCGGGTTGTCATATTTGAAGTCCCCCTCATACTCCAGTCCGAAGCACCTTTTTTGTGATAGGGCTACCAGATGGCTACAATGGTCTTTTTGGCACAACACAACTGTATTCTACATGGATTATTGGCACAAATGGCTCACTGCCCCACAATGTGTGAATCGAGATGGTAAATTGTCCCTGAAATGCCTCTTCTGGGTAGACCTGGTACTTGGAATTTTATTCTACTGGAATAAGTAAAGAGCTAGAATGCAACTCTCTTGAGTTTATAAATTTAAGAAAAGGCCACTCTCTTTCAAAATCCATCCAAAACAGGTACATATACATATTCTCCTCCATTTGGGAATATTTATTACATTACTGCAAGGATGTTGAAATTGTCAAAAACCTTCTGTGTAAGTTCTAGATGACACATATCAATAATTTTTAAAAGATCTGACACCCTCCCTTTCTTTTGCCTTTCAAGCTGCCACGAGCTGTTACAGTAAACTGGCCATTTTAATTGTGCTTCATTAAATGCTTATATTGTCTTCTGGCAGCTGATTGGGGTCAAGCATGTCTAGTTAAAAACAAAAGCTACACATGCCGTTTTGTAGAAAATCAGATAGTTAAAATGGAATGACCCCTGGGAATAAAATATGCAGTCCCTATTCCTCCCTCCTGCCTGTATCAGAAATTTAAGGAAGAAAGCTGATCTTCAGGACCTATTTGCTATGGATTTCTGTGTACTCTTTTGCAAATGGCTAGAAATGAAAGTATATTCATTTTCCCACCCATATCCCTAACTGTTTTAATCTGACACAGCAGAAGCAGCAGGGCGAACACAGCAATTTGGGCGCCGGATATTCTGCATCATGGATTGAAAAACATTGTGTTGCCTCCCTTTCAGTTTCTTATTTGAAGATGTATCTGAAGAAATTGATTTACGGGTCTGGGTGTTTTGGGCCTTTAACAGTTTCTCGTGTTCCCTGATCTGCCTCTGCAAATGGTTCTGGATAGCGATCCCCAAGGATTCCGGATCAAGGGAGGCTCCATAAACCTCCCAGGTCATGCCCTGTTCATCCCACACCACATCTCTGACGTTCTTGGATTGTTTCAGCTGCACTTTAGCCTCAGACTTGGCTTCTTTCTTCTTTCCGCCATGGCTTGTCACAGGAGCTTCTGCTCGGGAAAGCTTTGGATCTTTCCTCCTTTCACTAGTTTTGGTCTCTTGATCTGGGGCAGAATTGCTGCTTGACTCAGACTCCAACCCAATAGCAAGACTTTGAGTGCCCAATGAACCTGTCTCTTTGTGAGTGCCCGAAAATTTGCTTTGTTCTTTCTGGGCTGCAATTGGAGGACACATTGCCTGGAACCCAACAACAGCCACTGCCACAGCTGCTCTTTTACTTGTCTTCTGTTCTTTAGAATCAGGATGGACAAAACTGTCTTCCTTCTTTGATTTAACATCAACATCACCAATAGTCTTGATCTGCTTACCATGAGGATCAGCAGTGGTAGCTAGAACCTTATCTTCTTCAGGCAATCTGTCACAAGATGGAGATATAGGCTGATTTTCTGTTACAGAGATCCCAATGTGATGATGTTTGCTTTTGACTTCTGGTAGAGCAGAACACAGAGGTAGTGTGGTTTCAATGTTCACAGGTTGTGAGGGAACCAGAGGCTGATTACTGGTGTGGATGGAAATTTGATAAACAGGCCTTGTCTTCTGCAAAACTGAATTGTCCGCCATTTGCTGGGGAAGGCCGCTACAATATCTAGCCACACCTGGTGTTTGTACTTCCATCTCCTTGACTGATATTTCTTGAGTACAACCAGATGCCAGTGGGCATTGATGCTCTGCTTTGTCCATTGAAGCTGAGCAGACTGCATTCATCATGCCTGCTGGGTCATCTTGAGCTCTGACAACTTGAGCTACCAACTTCTTCTTTGTTGCAGCTGGTGCCTGAATATGCACTTCAGGCATGATGCCAGTGGATGGAGCTTTCTGGGTAAAGTTGTCAACAATTTCAGATTGTTCCTTCCCACCAGCTGCTGTGTAAATGATGTGCAACTGATCTTGTTTCTGCTTTGCCTCAGAAGGCATGTTCTCTTTTAGGAAGGCAGCAAAGATACTTGGACTGGTAGAAGCCGACTTGCTTTCCATGCTAGCTACAGCCTGAACTTCAGCATCTTGACAGGTCCTGCTTATGTCCTCTCTATTTGCTGGCACTGTCATTGTGCCTGTGTCTCTGAACTTAGAAGGCTCTGATACAGCCTCCTCTATGGTTTCACTCTTGAGTGATGGTTGCAATATATTCTCAGATTGGGATTTAGGTACAGATTCTGGCACAGTCCTAGCACTAGGATGGGAACTTGCATCCTTTGCACCCTTTGGTTTGGCATCCATACAAACAGGGGACTTCAGCCCAATATCAGAATCAGGTTCCAACTCCTTTGCTGAAGTTGGTGCTCCATTTTTCTCAGGACCAAACTTTTCCTCCACAATTTGCTTGACAGCTGGAGTGGTTTGCGGAGTATCTGGATGACTAGGAAGGAGGTGATAAGTCTCATGGGCTTTGTTCTTCATGCTGCAATCACCGTCTTTAGACAGAGAACTTGCTTTATCATCAACTGTACTAAAGAGGAGCTCTCCACCAACTTGGTTGGTCTCTTGGATCACAGGTGTCTTGAGTGTGGTTTGTCCCAAACTATGGTTTTCTACCAAGACCTTACCTTTGGAATCACTGCTGGCTTCCTGCTTAGAGTTATTCGCTGGCTCCAAGCAGCCTTCTTTGGATGAGTTGAAGGACCCCGGAGAAAACATGGTTGGGCTGCTAGTGTCATACCCACAAGACTGCTCAGTCTTTGGAACATTGGCTTCTGCCATACAGTTCACTCCAAACAGCTGCTCTTCAGTGGGCTGTACCTTGGCACCAAAAGGATATCCATTGCTGTTTCTCTCTATCGTTGCTTCCTTGTGTTGGTATTTATGGGATGACAACTCTCCTAGGCCATTCTTCTCCTTAGACAAAGTGACCAATGAAAGCTTGGCAGATTGTAGGGGATCTGGTACAGTCCCCATGGAAATGAATTGTTTAACAATCTCCAATCAGTTTCATTTGGTGTTGATCAGTTCTGGATTAAATGGGGTGATGCAGGCTGCAGTTTAGTGATGAATGATGCTTTCTTCCAACTGGTCTGGTAACAAAGAAGACATTGAAATAAATTAATCATATGTAATTATAAATATGAAACATCCAAACAGACACTCTGAACACAGGCACATCTAAGAGATGTATGAATAAGTATGATCTTATACCAGGGGTCTATCTCACTTTTCATACCCACAGACTTCTTCCAGGTGTTGATCTAGCTTTTGGTCATACTGTCCTAGAGAAAAGGAATAGAAAAGCTTTCGCAGGAAAAGGCAGATATTGTGGGCCAAATGTTGTCCACACCCAGTTTACAAAAGCTTTTATTTCACACTTATTAGTAACATCTTACCCCATCTTTGCTTCAACAAATGCAAGATAACATAAATGGCTCTCTTTCCCCCATTTATCCAATGTGATAAGTTATGTTAAGAAAGGGTGACTGGCCCAAGGTGAGTTTCAGTGGTGATTGTAACGTCAATCACTTGTAATGTGTCCTCTTCTCCAAGGTGAAACACAGTGACCACTATGGGAAAAATATATTAATTCCTACTTAAGACAAAAAAATACAGAATTAATAAGTTATTCTTGTGAAGGTGGTAAATACTCAGGCTTTTGTTTTAATGAACCTGCAAGGTTTTACTATTTTGGACTGCAATTTCCAGAATCTCTTGACCAGCACAGACAATGGTATTTATTTTTCAGGACTGTTTTGGCTATGAGCTCTGGGAGAAGTTGTTTGGATCCTGAATGACCCCACTGTAGCAGAAAGGTTCTTAAACTCTGGTTGGAAAGATCCATTATTCAGTGGTCAGAGGGTGTTCCTAGTTTATCTAATTATGATGGTGTATTTTACAGTCACTAATTTTAAGCATATTTTCGACATATGGTTAAGCTTACATTAATGTATATGTAAACTCTGTGATTATATTTTAAGAATCTATTATTCCCTTTACAACTTAAAAGAAATTAATTTGGGAGGAGCATGGATACTTGCTTCCCTTAATTTTAAAGTTGGAGAGATAAGGAACGAGAAGCAATCTTGCATGCCTTGAAAGATCTTGTAATTCTTAACAAATGCTGTGAAGGGAAGAAATAATTCACTGAAGGCCAAGTAGCAAATATGTTTAATTTATGATCACAACACTTTATTTAATATGTAACTTCTTACAAGATCTATTTTACAGTGTTCTAAAGCAACATTCTGCTTGTTAGCATGCTCTACTCCCCAGTGTCTCCTTGGCTTGGATATTGCTCATCCTCTACCCAATTCATCTCTCCACATACTCACTGTGCATTTCATCAAAATTCACTCTTAGTAGAGATATGAACTGTTCACAGCAAATGGCATGATTGCTTTAACCCCCACCCCAAAGGCTTTGAGCAGCATTAATTTTCTAATATTAAGGAATTCAGGGTCATCCTAGGTGTACTTTTGCTGAGAAAAGAAAAAAAGAACATAAAAATGATAAGGCGAGCTTCCTGGTAAATCTGAGTGGATGGATTTAACAGTCAAGGCAATTTAAATCAATTATTTCAGTCAGCAAGAAATACAGAGACACACAGCCATTCCAAGAGTAGAACATCTTAAAAGACACAGAGATATAGTGCTTTATATTCTCAATGCTGTTATTACTATGTGATTGTTATAAGTGCAATTAATTATTGTTATATAATTATATTTCTTTCTATTATTATATTTATATAATTATGCTACTACTGTTTTCTATTATGATTAGTCTCCTTATCCATGGACTTGATACGAGGGAGAGGACCTTCTCGGTGGTGGCCCCTCGACTCTGGAATTCACTCCCTAAGGACATCAGACATGCCCCAATGCTGGCAGTCTTTGGGAGGAGCCTGAAAACGTGGTTGTTCCAGTGTGCCTTCCCAGAATAAGGAAAACTCTTAGCAATATGTCCTCAAATGCACTTTAATACTGACTGAGGATTGTCTGCGCGCCCTCATTTTTCTCTGAAACCCCTATTCTAATTTGCCTTACCTTGTTCACGCCCAGCACTTTTTGATATTAAATTTGAATTATTACATTTGGCCTGGCCATGGGTTTTTAAATGCTGTATGGTTTGATATTGTTATTGTTTATTGCTTATTGTGTATTTTCTGTTTTTGAGTTTATTTTAACTGTTTTGTATTGATTATTGGTATTGTTTTGTTTATTGGTGTGCTGTGGGCTTGGCCACATGTAAGCCACACCGAGTCCCTTGGGGAGATGGTAGCGGGGTACAAATAAAGTTTTATCATCATCATTATTATTATACCCACTCATCCATATATATACCGTATATTCCGGCATATAAGACGACTGGGCATATAAGACGACCCCCAACTTTTCCAGTTAAAATATAGAGTTAAGATGACTCCCATGCATAAGACTACACCCGCGTATAAGACGACCCCTGACTTTTGAGAAGATTTTCTTGGGTTAAAAAGTAGTCTTATACGCCAGAATATACTGTATATATATATATATATATTCTCCACCCTAAAATGTTTGTGGACCTCTATAGACCTCCATTGTTATTTTATGGTACACTTCCTACACAAGTATAGTAAAAATATAGGACTTGTTGTTGTCCATGGTTTCAGGTATCCATGGGAGTGGTGCTGTTTGTATAGAACATATCTCATGTGGATATGTGTGCGGGGGGGGGGGGGGTCATACTGTATTACTGTCATTATCATTATCATCATCACCATCATCAGCAGCAGCAACATTATTAATGACATTTATATTCTGCCTTTCCTTCAAGGAACTTCCAGGTAACATAGCTGGTTCTTCTTTTCACTTCTGTTTTTATAAGAGCCCCTGAAGTACATAGTTAGAGACAATTACTGGCCCAAGGCTACTTACAAACTCATCAGATGGCTGGTTTTCCCCATCTCTGTGCACTGTCAGCATGCTGCTGGGACTGAGTCCATTGGAGCCCATCAAATGATGCAGGGCTACTTCTGGCAGGGCTCCATGCAGGCAATGTGCTGGCAGCATGCAGAGATGAAGCCCTGAGAAGATAGGTGACTACCCAACTCCTCGTAACAAAAGCTGGGAACAGCACAGAAGGAAGGAAGCTGGGGTTAGTTGGATGGTAACCTATGACTCACGAGTGTAAGGGGATGAAGCAGGATGCAGCCCACAGTTTCCCCTGTTGTCCCCCAACTTCTGGAACTCCATGTGATGAAGTCCCTAGTGAGCATCGCTTCTGATTAAAGATCTGAACTGGGTCTCCCTAGTCCTAGTCTGAGATCTAATCGATATAGGCAACGATTATTGTGGTATTTGTTTCAGTGTTATGTAGTTATGCTGTTTTAGTCAAATTCTTTGTTCAGGCCATATCCAACATTCTCTCAAAGTAGGACCAAACTTTGGCTATTTTGAGGTTAGCGCTGAGCTTGTGATTTCCTCTCAGGTTCTATGGGATTCTCTCATTCTATGGGCTATGGGCTGTCCATTGTTGAAGCCTGACCAGGATGTATTGGGCTCCTTTGAGCAGCCTAGACCACACTGGACTAATTCTGAGCACACTTTATGACAAACGTAAATTAAGCACCTGTGATCCACTGTGGAACTAAATGATTCATCTCAAATTTTTACTAAGGCATAGGAACTCACAGCTTTAGGTCCCACTAGGTTCCCTAACCCTACAGAATGAGTTGGTGTGGTATAGAAAACACTATAGCATGGAACTTGAAAAGTTCAGGGTTCAGGATGTATCTCATACACAAAATTCTCTCAACAGCCATGGCTCAATCACCAGTGGCATCTCTACTGGGGTGCAAGGCGTGTAAACCATGAACAGTGTCACTATTAACAGGGCTTCCATTGCTGGGTTAGTGCTCCAAGGCGAACTCTGCACTGCCTCCCTCTCCCCAGTCTGGAGGGCAGAAATGTTGTGCTGCCAAAATCTCCTGTATCCTCCTCAGGTGTGTCCATTACTATAAACATGAGTTCTGAAGGAGAGAACCAGCCAACCCGCAGATGACACGGCTATTTGTTTGTGCTGAGGAGAGGATTTCTCTTCTTGCCTATCTTCCTGTGAGCCAACTTGCAGGGCTCTCTCCCCTTGCATTTTATTCTGACCAACTTTATGGAATCATAGGGATTGCAGCTTGCACTCTTTGGCAGAGAGGATTAGAGAAAGATCTTGTAATACTACAGCTCCCATGATTCCACAGCATTGATCCATGGTAGTTAAAGTGGAGTCATATTGCATTAATTTTATTGTCTAGATGCAGCTTCAGTTGTTAGGAGACTCAAGGGGTTGTAAGAGGAGGGCAAACTGATGACGAAAGGTTGAAGAACATGGTTTAAAACAGTCACCATTGCCTTCTTCATTGCCATCATCATCATCATCATTTAAAAAACAAAACAATGTGGAAAGTAAGTGTGAAAGACAAAACTGTAAGACTGAAAGACACTGGATCAGGAAGGTCCACAAATAGGTAAAATACAAAATATAAAATACAAAATTCTTATTTCAGAAGAATAACCTGGTGAAATTCCTACAAACAATGCCTCTAGCACATGTGGATTAAAGCACAACTTTTATTAGCAAGTCTTAACTTCCTAAACACACACATAAAATGTGAAGTCCCACCCTCCTGCTTTGGAAGAATGACTAAGCAGGATGCCTGTCAGCAAATCAATGGGCAATTTTTCAAACACTGGCTCAAAAAGTGCTATTTGTTGAACCAACTTTACCCTCAATCATGGACAATTTCATTTTTCTCCCAGGGGCAAGGCATAAAACCCTTTAGAGTTGGCAGAATGAAGTGTGGTAATGATTTACTTCCTAAATCCCAGTTGCACTACAACATAAAAATGTCTGGGGCTTGAAGTCCCAAACAGAACGTATTGTAAAAGCAGTTATATAAACCTGAAACAGGAAATAAAAAAAAACCGCTACCAAAGTGTGGGCAAACTTGTTTGAGAGGCTTAGAGGAAGTCAAGTGAATTTTCTACATTGTTAGCCACATGAACTGGGAGCTACAATCTCTGTTCCATTGTAACAAAAGCTTGGAAATATTACT